AAAAAAGATCAACAATTAAAAATAAAAAATAATCAAATGACGAATAGGATGAAGAATATTTTAAATAGAATTCAACAAAATGAAAGAGATTTTAAAGATAATTATCAACATATTCAAATACTTGGTAAAATATTTTCTTAGAAATTATTTTCATTTCTCAATCTGTTTATTTTTCTAGAAAATAAACTTATCGAAGAACAACATTATTATCTACAATTAAAATATACGGTAACAGATATGAAAAATCGTTCAGAATCATATCGAACAAAACAACATTCAATACAAATGCAAGCACAAGTAGCATCGAATAATATTAAGTATGAATATATTATACTCATACGTAATTAAGAAAACATGTAAATTTGTTTTAGTAGATTAGTGACTAGCGTTGCCTGTTTAATTCTCAAACGGTTTTATTATAATAGTTAGCTTATGTTTGACTTGTACTCTTGACTATATGACATCGAATTGGGACTATGTCTACTTTGCCGAGCTTGGTTTAAGAGAATATTGATTTATGAGAAATATCCTACAAAGTTGTTGAAGTACATGATAATGTAGAACACATGTTATTTTACAAGATGAATGTCGATGAGATTTATAGGACGTATCTTCTGATAGATCGTTCACAACATTTTATACAAGATATGTAGGGATACACAGTTTTAGTGCAAATACTGATACCGGGTTCACTGATGGTGTCGGTTTACTCGCACTCGTCGGTTTCGATGAATCCACAGCATCAGTGAACCCGGTATCAGAGTTGTCAGTGCTACGGTACGTCACTATCTGTGCTGACAGTGCACGATTTACCGAAACTGCGCATCCCTAAAGATATGTTTATTTCTCATTAGAATTTGTTACCTATATTTTCTAACTGCTGATATCTTTAGACATACAACGATTGTGTTTCTGTTTGTCGAAGCACATTTCATCGAAAGATTTTTTTCCAATCACCCTTACTCTTGCAGTAGCTTCCGAGGCGAAAATCTGTTTTCGGCGAAGAGGATATATACCCATTTTGATAATGATTAAAGAGCATATGACTCTACTATTCATTCAAATAATATTAATTTACTTACCGTTAGATATTCTCAATATCGTTTAAAAACGTTTACTGACCAATTAATAATCTGTCATAATGATGCAATTGAACAAAAGACATCATTAAATAAATTACGTGAATATTATTCTACTCTAAAAGAAAATGATGAAATTAATTTGAAAAAACTTTCAACTATTTATGAACAATATACTAATCTTCAAAATCAACATAAAATTTCGATAAATTCTCTTCAACAAACAAATGAAAATTTAACAAAATATTTAACAGTACGATCAAGTTTAGGTCGTATGGTTGTTCGTCGAGTTAATTTATGTCAGTTATTATATAAAAAAATAGTTCGATTTGATGAACATATTCATCAACAAGATCAATCTATTCAAATGATTTCTAAATGTATTAATTCAATAAAACTTCAAATTCATCAAATTCGAAATCAGAATAGAAAATTTGTTGAAAGAAAAGATAAATTTCAATTTGAAGTAAATCAATTTTTACTAAAAAAAACCAAAAGAAAAATATTTGAAATTTTAGACTGTTAAAATTCATATGACAAAAATACTCGATCATTCACATGAAAAACAACGATTACTGACAAAACAAATATTTCAACGACATTTTTCAATAAAACATTCACGTTAGTTTTTATTTTTATTCTTATTAAATTTTTTTGTTTTTCTTTAGCTAATCCTCTACCATTTGAAGAACAAAATTATTTACGAAATAAATTCTATTTATTAAAAACTCGTTTAATTAAAATTATTTTTCGTGGAATTATTTCCAATTTTGTTCTTTTATCAATTCAACAAGAATTTTCTAATTTATTAGAAGATTATACATCGAAAACATGGAGAGAAAATTCTTCGAATTTAAATTTTCTACGAACAAATCTCTATCAATTAGTACGACAATTAAAAGCAAAAACAGCAGAAAATAATATGCTTATTGATTACCAACATTATCTTCAATTCATTCATACAGATATCATTCAACAAATTATACAATGGAAAAGTAAATTTGAAAATTTATTTTTCCTTAATTTATTATTCTATTTAGATTTCAACATGATAGATATTACTTAGAACTTGATCACTGTATTTTCTTCTTCAGTTTAATTGATTATTTGAATAGTTTAGTTAAATAAATTCTGTTCTTTACTGCTGAATCACACGACAAAAGGGAAATTTCGATAATAGTTACAATACTCAATTTCGGTTCTATATAAACATTTAAATTCATAATTTCCTACAGATGTCAGCAGTTACATATATAATATTATCATCATTTAGTTCATATTTTTTTAATTTGAATGATTTCGATGAAAATTAGATTACATATGATTATAGAAGAATCTGTTTTATAGGTCGTATAACAATTTTTTAGCTAAAATTAATAGTTTGAATATCTATTTGTTGTAAACTTATCCAATGAATTGTTCAAGAACGTCTATGTATATGTATATATATACAATATAACGTTTTTGTCGATATGTATTTTGAAGAAAAAACAAATGATGATGTTGTGAATAATTTAATTTTTCGGTTTCATTCTAGTTATTGGTGTCTAACTATCGTTGATGGCTGCATCAACTACTACTACTGCTACTGCTACTGCTACTGGTACTACTATCAATACAAACGAATCACCA